ATATATATATATATATATATATATAGGTTTTGAAATTGACAGACCTATCTTCAAATGCTAGCCTACTGTTTACTAGCTGTGTACTGTGACTTTTAACAAGCCTCTTCATTTTTCTGAGCCTAAGTTTCCTCATCTGCTGTTTTCCAAGATGGAAATTCCTTAGGCTCAGAACATACAGCCAGGCTGTGGTTTAGGGCCTTCTTTGAGAAGAATTACTCGAAAATGGCAGATTGCTTAACATTCAGCTTGTGTGCTCTCAGGATATTTAATAAGCCTTGCATAAATTAATTTATTCTCCAATTATTGAGCACTCACTGTGGGACTAACATTATCGTAAACATAGGGGAGACAGATACAAGTATCAGCCATCCCCTGACAGAAGACATTGCAGGTGAAACAGTGGTGTCATTACAAGGCAAGGCATCAATATATGCAAAAGAAATGGACTGGAGAATGGGTGTACACCTGAGTTCAGAATAGGCTCTGGCTTCACAAAACTAAGCATCATCTGGCCTAAAGATAGCATGGGAATGATTGGGAGGGCCTAGAAGATCAGTTTGTAGACAGACAGACCTGGGTTTGAGTCCTGGCTGTGCTACATGCTGCTTTTATGACCCTAGATAAAGTACTTGAATTCTGAGCCTATATCCTTCATCAGCAAAAGGGGCAATGATAAGAGTACCTCTTCATGTGGTACTTTCTGGAATGAGCTAAATCAGTATACAACACTTAGCAGAGTTCTGGAACAAAGTAAACATTGAAAGTAAACATTCAATAAGTGTTTCATAATATTAGATAATATGTACTTACTGAGAAAAGTAATGAGCAGTATTAGTTTAAGCAACTTGCTTCTCCTCTCTGAGGCTTCAGTTTTCCCATCTGTAAAAACAAGGCGTTTGGTTTTGTGACCTCTTTGGAACTTTCCAATTTAGATATGTGATTCTAATGACAGTATTTCAAGCAGGGCTTTAGGTTGACCAAACAGCCCACCCAAGGGCCAGAAGCTAGGAAGATTTCCCTACCTGAGAGTGGTTTGTTGGAAACACATCCTGTGCCAGCTCAATGGTTCCATGCTCAGCACTTACAGTGATTTAATTGTATCCTTGCCTCATAGACTCTGTCTCTTCTCTTGACCTTTCAACTCTAGGTCTATTTGTTTGACTTGACTTATAAGCAGCGGCCATACACCTTCCTCTTGCCTAGAAAATGCCACTCCTCAGGGGGTAAGTTCTTCCTTAGGCTATCTCTGCAGGGGCAGGGCGGTGGAGCTTGGGTACTTGCTCTTCTGAGAAACCTACCCATTACTCTGGAATGTGGCTGCAATACTCCAAAAAGAACAGATTTGTGCAGTGACCCTGTCTACAATAAGGAAGATAACAATAGGTCAGAGAAATTTGTCCAGGTTCTTTGCATCATAGCCCTTTTACTTCCCTCTGCAAAGATAGGTTCTTCCCATGGGTTGGCTCTTGGGGACCTGAAGTAGTTGCCCTTCCCTTTCTCATCCTGTGACTTACTGGCTTCTTTCTGGAGCCTGAAGTTGATACAGGAACTTCCTTACCCCTCATTCCCTCCTTCACACCAGCTCAGGGAAACATCAACCTGAGGCTATGTCCTCTCCAGCCAGCAGAGGGCGCACAGGCTTTTCTTTATGCCATTACCTGCCAATCTGTCTGAACTTTTGGTTTCTGGGACTGGGTTTTACCTGGGAGAATAGTCCCACAGAGGAACCATCAGATCCTGTTATGGAAACCAAGGACCTGCAGAAAAGAAATGAGGACTTCCTCCTGAGATGTCGTTACTTTCTCCCCATCCCTGCCAGAAGTCCAGAACGGCAAGATGTCCACTAACGGTGTGTCCAACAGCGTGTCTAATGGCCTGCACCTTCATAGCAATGGCTTCCGGCTACCAGAAAGTAGGGGACATGTCAGGTGAGGCCAGCTGACTTGTGTAGTCCTCCAGGCTTCAGTTACACTTTTCTGGACTAGAAGGAGGAACATGTCCTATAAACCTTCCTTCTGACCTGAACCCAGGGACTGGGGCAAAGAGGCTTCTTGGAGGGTGACTAATGCTCCCAAGGCTGTTCCTTAGGAGGCCAGTCATGCTCAGACTGCAGCTCCAGGAACTGGGTCAGGGCCCAGGGGCTAGCTATCTCTTAGCATTGAGCTCTCCAAAAAGAGGTTCTACATAGATGGTCTTCCTCCCATTATATTATTTCCCAGCCCACAGCATATTCCTTCTGCTGTTCTCTGCCAGGCCCTTTACTGGACTTTGGATACATAGGTGCTGAAATTTCTATCCCTTGTGGAAAAACAGTTTTCCATAAAGAGATCCATAGGAGAGACTAAGGTGGTCACAAGGCTCAGCTCAGCATAGAGGCAGGTGGTGTCAGTCGTGGTCTTGTGAACTTAGGCATTTGATAAAGAATTGCTTCAAGGGCTGGAGGTGTGTGGTTCAAGTGCAAGCACAAAGTCCTGAGTTCACACTCCAGTACCACATACACATACACACATACACACATACATACACACACACACACACACACACACACACACACACACACAAATTGCCTCATGCCTATCCAATGCAGCCTTATTCCTACTCCTCTTCTTTTCTAACAAATCAGAGTGTTTGGAATTGTGTCTGTTCCTTCTTATGGTAATAGGTAATAACCCAAGCTGGGAATAAGAGTGGCCACCTCTTCTAAATGGATGACAGTGCAGATCCCAGAGGCTGAGAAAGCCTGCGTGGACCTCAGGCAGGGTACTGTCCTCTTGTTTGACTGTTCTGACTTGGCTGTACTTCCCTCACAGCCCCCAAGTAGAGCTTCCCCCATATCTGGAACGTGTGAAGCAGCAAGCCAATGAGGCTTTTGCCTGCCAGCAGTGGACCCAGGCCATTCAACTTTACAGCAAGGCCGTGCAAAGGGCCCCTCACAATGCCATGCTGTATGGAAACCGAGCTGCTGCCTATATGAAGCGCAAGTGGTAAGTGGGCACTGCAGGGGGGACCTGGGTCAGAACAAGGGATGAAGCAGCTGGACCACAAGACACTGGGCTTGATGGAGCCAAGTTACCAAGGCATCCAGCAAAGGTGGCAGTGAAATCTTGTTAATTCTTAAGGCTTCTTGACCTGGACCTCTTCTCCCTACCTTTAGGCTGAGGGTAGGCAGGTGCTCCAAATCTTAAGTCTCAAGCACCAGAGAACCTCACAAATAGTGGAACATGTTCACAAGTAACTCCAACATGTTTCTTTGTTATGAAGTACTAAGAAAGTAGGAGTTGAGAGAGTGGCTAATCCCAACTGTTGGAGAATTAGATCTTAAATTGGAATTTGAAGGAACAGTGAAGTCTTCCTAGGTAGAAATGAAGGGTTTGGTAAATTCATTTGATATCTGTTTAAAATGAGTCTACAGTTCATTGGTCCTGGGACTTGCTTTGTGTGCTCTTGGACCCAACTGCACTGAGCACAAACAAAACCCCAGAAATCTGAGGCTAGCTATGGATCATTCTGTGGTCTAGCGACTAGTGGTAAAGGAGTAAGTCCATATCCTTAGGAGCCCCTCATATTCACAAACCATCAGGGCCCCAGCCCTTCTGCCTGTAGCACCAGCAGGCAAGCAGGCAGGCAGACCCCCATCCCCCAGCCAGGACCAGGACTGGAGATGGATAGAGCTGGGCCCACAGCCATTTCTGCTCCGTCTGGCATCCGTCGGCCCTGCCCAGACAGACAGGCCAGCTGGTGTGCCATCGTCTGGCTGAAACTAGGCAGGCCTAGGAAGCTTAAGAAACCCACCCAAGTCAGCAGGTGGGGGATGGGGAAGAGCCACTCCTATAGGCCTTTGCTCAGGCATTAGGAGTTTGCACAGGGTTCAGGTGGCACCCAAATCAGGAGATGACTATTTCAGGGCCCTCCTGAGGTCTGAGGTGTGTCGGGTCTCTGTCCAACACATGGATAGAACATGGCAGTCCTCACTAGGCTGAGAGCCCAGCTTCATGTCTATATTCTTGCTAAGAGAGGTTGGTGATTTCTCAATCCATGTGTGCCGTCAGCTTATTCTCTGAACTCCTATTGTGTGCTAGGTACTGGGGAAACAAAGTTCTGTCACTCTGAGTCTGTACCCTATAGTCTCTGTACCTCTGGACAGGACTATGTCCCAGACATACATAGTTCAGCATGAAAGAGGCAGGAAACAGTAAGTCTTGTGAATGGTCAGGTGAAATGCCGTGAGCATCCAGAAGAGTTGGGTCGCTTTAACTGGGGATCAGGGAAGTATCAGAAAGATGTGTTGTCTGAATGGGCTTGAAGTATGGGCAGGCTTAGACAAGGAGATGAAGAGGAGGAGGGGACCGTGGGGAAGGACATTCCAGGGAGATGAAATGGTGTGAACAAAGGCGTGGGGGTGGGGGACTGACTGAGAGCTTGCTTCAGAACAGCAAATCCATTTGGCTAGAGCAGAGGGTTCAGGAAGGGACTGGCAGAAGATGAGTCTGTGAGGTAGTCTGAGGCTGGCCTGGAAAGGGCTTGGAATGCAGAGCGGTGGCGTTTGGCCTCGATTCAGTACATGATGGGCAGCTACTGGAGAGTTTTGAGCAGGAGAGAGATGTGTGGAGGGCTGTCCTTTCAGGGAGATTGGTCTGGCAGTGTGTCTAGGATGGGTGAGCCCTGGGGCCAGCCTGTTCTCTTCCCCCAACCCCCAAATGCCTGCCAGTAACCCCTAGAATGTCACATTCTGTCCCAGGCCAGTCTCCCCAGGGCTACCATCTGCTCCTGGATACAGACCACCCTCTGGCTCCTGGCTGGTCTCTGGTCTGGCTTTCCCTAAGAGCTCAGAGGGGCACCTTGCAGGCAGTAATTGGGTTTCCAAACAGGCCCTGCTCCGTCGTCATAGCCATTCATTTTGACGCAGACCACACCATCAAAGCAGCTCTGTCTCCTGCCTGCCTCATGCTGCCGAGCTTCTGGTTCCTGGTCTGAGTATGGCTACTCCAAGGGCTGTGTGCTTCCTCTGAGTGCTAGGGGGAGAGAACAGTCAGGACCTGCTTTGGTTATGCAGAGGGACGGGAGGGTGAGCTGTGCCCTTGGTGGAGGGGCGATCAGTTCTAGGGAGTGCTGCTTACTCTTTGGCTAGGCCCACCCTAGCCCAGCACAGGGGGAAAAATAGTTTCCAAAGGGGAAGTGGTTCCTGTTTCCTGTCTGGCTCTCCAGATGAGAGGCAAGGACAGGTCTCTGGGGTACAGAAGAATGTACCTCCTATATCACAGCACAGGTTGGGAGAAGGAGGAGCTTCTCCTTTTACTCCCCACTCCAACAAAAAACCTTGCTCTTTCCTTCGTTCCAATACTTTAGGTTGGAGAAGTGAGTGGGGACAATTTGGAGCTCCTGGTGTGCACTGCCCCCTCTCTAGAAGCTTCCAGAGAGCTGACTCTGCCAGACAGTCAGGCCCCATCCTCCAGCCCCAGGAGGTAGAGGCCACAGCTGCTGTGGATCAGTCAGCCAGGACAGAGGGGGGTCTGGCTGAGGGCTTGCTGCCTGCTGGTCAGACCCTGAGCCCCCAGCTTGGCACTTCTGGCTTCCCCAGACCACAGAACTGTCCTTGAGGGCCCCCTGCCTTGGACATAGCTTTGAAGGCCAGCAGGGGGATTTGAAGACGTGGATGAAGGAAAAGAAGGAGGGCTTGGGGAGCTTGAGGTGGGCAGGATGCCAGGCCTTCTGCTGCAGAGCTGCGGGTGCCCGAGATAAGCAGTACGTAGTTGCAGTCTGAGCCCAGGAGAGGGCAGCCTGACACCATTCTTTGCCACCTCAAGTCTTCAAGGTTTGTGCCTTGCTCTTTAGCATATTCCCATCTCCCCCAGGAGGGAGGCTTGGATTTAGCTAGGCCTTCATCCCCATTGTCCCCTCACCCTGAGGCCTGTTAGAAGTGGTCTGGGGTGGCTACAGGAAGCAGAGGAAACTGAGTAGGGACCACTTGCCTGCCATGTGGCCCCACTGCCAGTCTATACTCCATTGCCTTTTCAGGGATGGTGACCACTATGATGCCCTGAGGGACTGCCTCAAGGCCATCTCCCTAAACCCGTGTCATCTGAAGGCACACTTCCGCCTGGCCCGCTGCCTCTTTGAGCTCAAGTATGTGGCTGAGGCCCTGGAGTGCCTGGACGACTTCAAAGGGAAGTTTCCGGAACAGGCCCACAGCAGTGCTTGTGACGCGTTGGGCCGAGACATCACCGCTGCCCTCTTCTCTAAAAATGATGGTGGTGAGTGAGCTCTGAAGAGGGATTGCTGTCACTTGCTTATTTGAGGTGTTGCATGACCTTCTGGAGAGGACATCGTCTGGGACTGGAGAGGCCTGGATTCAGGTTCTGGTTCAGAAACCATATGATATTGATCAGTCTCTCAGGTCTCTCAGACTGCTTCTTCACGTGAAGAAGGGAAATGCTAGCACCTTCCATTGAGTGTTTCTGTTGAGGATTAGTTAATAGTATGTTTGAGGCACTTGTATAGGAGTAAACTGAGCCCAGGCAGGCATTGTGGGCTCCAGCTGGGCCTTCTCACCTGTTCCCAGACAGGGCCTTGGCAGCTAACTGGACTGAGGCAGGAGCTGGTTGTTGCCTTTGTTGCAGTCTATACAAGTGCAGCAGAAAGGGCAGTAGAATGCCTTGGCTCCCACCTCAGTTCTACCAGGTTGCACTGTGTGGCCATGGGCAAAAGCACAGCCACCAAACCACTGCCTCACATACAAATGACACCCAAAGCCTGCCCAGCTCCCTTAATAGCATTGGAAGGCAAGCTGGATCGTGGTAGTGTAGTGCGCTGTATAAACATGGAAGGCGAGCTCATTAGGGGCAGACATGGATCTTCACCTCTCAGTTTTGCAATTTACTAACCTTAGGATCAGTTGTTTGGTGAGTAAGTTATCAGACACATACCTGCCTTGTGCCAGACACTGTGCTGAGTCCTGGTAATACAGAGATTTCAGTGTTTGTGCAGTTTACAGCCTAGTGAAGTATTGAAGCTATGGAAGTATTGAAGTATTGGAAGTATTGAAGTATTGAGCTTGGGGTCTTACAGTACTTGTGAGACCCCAAGTGGCATAGGTACATAGGGGAAGACTTGATGGCAGTCTTGGCTTCTTCAGGAAGGGACATATTTGGCAAGGTCTTAGGGATGCAGAGTTTCCAAGGTGACTGTGAGGTGAAAAGTCCTTGGCATGGGCACCAGCACATCCAAAGGCCCTGAAGCAGGCAGAAACAGACCCTTTTTGTGTGTGGTGGAGGGGGAGGACGACTGGGATTTGAACTCAGGGCTTCACATTTATAAATCAGATGCTCTAGTGCTTGAGCCACACCTCTAGTCCATTTTGCTTTGGTTATTTTGAAGATGGGGTCTTGCAAACTATATTCCTGGGCTGGCTTCCAACTGCAGTCTTCCCAATCTCAGCCTCCCAAATAACTAGGATTACGGATATGAGTATGCTGGTACCTAGCTAACATTGCACCTTTAAGGAACTGAGAAAATTAGCATAATTTTACTTGTCAACTAATCAGTGCTACAGTTGGGGTTCATATAACTTGCCTTCCAAGAATTTGGTCTTCACTGCTTTTAAGAGCTATGGGTCTATTTATGAAAGTCATCCATTCAGGCTCTCTTTGCTGGTGCCTCTTCCATAAAAACATCCCTTGAGCCTGTGTATCTGGGGCTTTAGGCCTTTATTCAGGGTTCTCCTGGCGTTAAAGTTTTCCTCTTATTAAACATCCTAAAAAGATGGTTGGATCCAAAGATGCATCTTCCCACAACCTTTTCCCACTTTTCCAGAGTAGGGTGGAGGCAGGTAGCCTTACACTGCCAATACTTGGAATGAATAGGACCAAGGGTGGGGGAAAAAGTGGAGAGAGGAGGGAGTGTCAGGACTCACTTTTCCTTGATCTCTGCCCCCAGAGGAGAAGAAGGGAGCTGGTGGTGGTGGCCCAGTCCGCCTCAGAAGCACAAGTCGCAAGGACTCCATCTCAGAAGACGAGATGGTGTTGCGAGAACGGAGCTACGACTATCAGTTTCGATACTGTGGCCACTGCAACACCACTACGGATATCAAGGAAGCCAATTTCTTTGGCAGGTCCGAAGCCTTGAACAGGAGGAGGGCACAGCCCTGTTGGCAGCAGGAGTTTTGGGAGGGAAGCACTAGGGACATAATGCTTTTAGAAAAGTCTTAGCTCTGCCTCTGTACCCTTGTGCAAATGGCTTCGCCTGTGTCAGCCTGTTTCTTCAATTATGAAATGAAACCAGCCATTCCCATTCATGGCTCCATAACAAGGACTAACAAGATAATACAAGTGCAGCACCCAGTTCAGTGCCTGGAATGCTCTTTTATCTCCCACTCCAACCCCCTCTGCTGCATGTGCCAGAGAGTGTTTGCTGCTGCTTTTTTTTTTTTTTTTTCTTTTTTGGTGATACTGGGGTTTGAACTCAAGTACCTCATGCTTGCTTTCAAGCACTCTAAAACACTTGAGCCACACAAAACCCCCCCCAGCCCTTTTGCTTTTAGTTAGTTTTTCAGGTAGGATCTCAATTCCCACCCCGCACTGGGGTTTGAACTCAGGGCCTACACCTTGAGCCACTCCACCAGCCTTTTTTTGTGAAGGGTTTTTTTCGAGATAGGGTCTTATGAACTGTTTACCCAGGCTGGCTTTGAACCACAATTGTCCTGATCTCTGCATCCTGAGTAGTTAGGATTACAGGCGTGAGCCACCAACACCTGGCTAGGATCTCAAATTTTTGCCCAGGCCAGTCTCAGACCATAATCTTTCTAATCCCTGCCTCTCAGATAGCTGGGATTATAGGTGTGTACCACCATACCCAGCCCCCAGAGTTTGCTTTCCTTATCTGGATGCTTATAGCTTCTCTCTGCTAGGGGAGGATGAGGCAAGAACCCTCAGAGGCTGGAAATCTTAGCACAACCAGTGCTCAGAACTGTGCCTTAGGTATTAAGGGACAAAGCCTGTGTGTCAGACACCATAACCCCAACTTTCCCTTGTGATCCTTATACTTTCTGGGGTAGATGAGACACATGAATGTGAATTAAGAATATCTCCATCAATATACTGTGTGATTGTCAGTGGTGTGTGAGGGCCTATGCTGTAGATGTACTAGGGTTTGGGGGTCTGGATCCAAAAAGCCTTGGATTGCTGAAGGAAGGCTTAGGAAAAGGTGTTGTTCAAGACCTGAGAGAAACAAGATCTAATCCTGGTACCAAGGAGGTTATAAAGCACTTTGGAGGAGACCATCTGGACCCAGGACTGATCCTGGGTTTAGGAGAATATGACTAGGATCTGATCTGCCTCTGAACCCTTGTGAGTAGGAGTTCTGAGTCAAGGGCAGACCATGAGTGTAGGGGACTGAGTGGCTCTAGACTTCCCTGTTTACCCTTTCCCTAAGCCACAGAGCCTCTACTTCAGGCTTTAGGACAATACCCCTACCTGACCTCCTTGTCCTTTGCCCCCCCTCCGCCAGCAACGCTCAGTACATCGTCAGTGGCTCTGATGATGGCTCCTTCTTCATCTGGGAAAAGGAGACCACCAACCTAGTCCGTGTGCTCCAGGGAGATGAATCTATCGTCAACTGCTTACAGCCACACCCCAGCTACTGCTTCTTGGCCACCAGCGGCATAGATCCTGTTGTACGACTCTGGAACCCCCGACCAGAGGTAAGGGTACAGGCCAAGCAGCCAAAGCCAAACAAGAAGGAAAAACTAGGGACCCTGTGCGAGCCTCTGGCTGAGTCTGAGATGAGAAATGAGCCATATAGGCTAGAAGCTGCTGGGGTGACTAAGGCTAATTCAAAGTGGGAAACTTACTCTCCCTCCCCCATTCCTGGAATGCTCCAAATGCAGTGAGCAGTTCTGGAGGCAAAAGTTGGAATATACCCTTGAGTTAGCTATGAAGATGAGGTGCCCATTCACCAAGAACACGGGTGCAGGAGGGCAGACAGAACTAGACCATCCGTGGCTCCTCATGAGAAGGATGTCTCAGAGCTGTTCAGGGGTTGATCCTTCAGTCACAGGGATGTGTGCAGGCTTTGGAGTCTGGTAATCCTAACTTTGAATGCCTCCCCTCTGCCTTCACTTGCATCTGCAAGACTTAACCATTCCTATACTGGAAATGGTTGCTGTGAGGACTCAGAAGTGATACCTGTGTATCACTTCACAATGTAGAAGAGACACACCACACCAGGTTATGTATACATGGGTGGGACACACATCTGGAGGGTACATACACAATGGGATGCATGTTGGTGGGACACTGCATCAGGATATATCTGGGAGAGAGCACACATGCTGAGGTGGAGAGCTGGTGTTGCCCCTCCATGCCCTGTGTGGGGAGCCAGCTGAGCCCACTGCAGGTCTTGCCTGCCTCTCTGCCCCACCTCCACCCCTCCCAGCTGACAAAACCCAAATTGCATGGTAATTCTGACTGCAGTCCTATGACTTGTAAAGAGGACCATGAGGAAGCCTTCCTTGGGAGAACAGGAAAAAGAAAAAGAAAGGGCTGTTAGACGTGCAACAGAACAGTGGGAGAGGCAAATACCACTCATGTGTGCCCTCTCTCAGATGTATCCTGATGCAGTATCCCACACCATGCATCCAGTGTGCATGTGTCCTCCTAGGTTTTACCTTATGTACCCACCCATGTATACATAATCTGGTGTAGTGTGTCTCTTGTACATATCCTGAGGTGTGTGTTCCCCTCCACCTGTGTACATCTCCTGGTATGTATATCCCCCAGTGTATGTAGTTTAATCTGTGTTTCTCTCTCCCCACCCCTGTGCATATGTCCTGGTACATGTCCTTTCCTTATATGTCCTGGTATCCGACCCAACCTGAGTCCATTTGACCTGTCCCTTCCTCCACCACAGAGTGAAGACCTCACAGGCCGAGTTGTGGAGGACATGGAGGGTGCCTCTCAGGCAAACCAGCGGCGCATGAATGCAGACCCCTTGGAAGTGATGCTGCTCAACATGGGCTACCGGATCACAGGCCTGAGCAGTGGGGGTGCTGGAGCCTCAGATGATGAGGACAGCTCAGAGGGCCAAGTGCAGTGCCGGCCCAGCTAGACACTCCTAGCCCTAGCCCCTGCTACTGGCCTGACCCTCCTCCCTGGGCAGGAGGTCAGGGGATTCTGATTTGGTTTGTCTTCCCACCCCCATTTTTCATTTCCCTTGTTTTGTTTGTTAGTTTGGCATTGGGGGTGGGGATTCCTGCAACTTGCTGCTTTCAGACTCTTGGGCTGATTGTCCCTTGACTGTCCCCAGCTCTGAGCAGAAAGCAGGAGGGGAAGTCCCTCTGTATGTCCCCACCTTCTGCTTCCATATCCCTGGAGGGTTCTGGCCTGCCACAAAACTCCTCTGCCTTTGATGAAGAGGCAAGAGGTAAAGCTGTCTTCAGTGACTGCCCTGCCCTTCAGTTGGCAGCAGGAAGAGAGTGGAACTCTCAGCTGGTAAAAGTTAGCCTTGGCCTGTTGCCACTCTTCCTCTCTTGCCTGCAGGGCTAGCTCTCCCAAGGTCTTCAGGGAAGGTCCCTCCACAGCCACCAGTGTTAGGATGGAGCAAAGGAAGGATGGGAACCCTGGAATGGGCAAGGCCAGACTACCTGCCCTGGTGGCAGTGGAGCTTCCTCACTCACTCCTGGGCATCTGCTGTGGCTCTGCCCCTGGGCCTGGCCACCTCTGAGGGCTCTGGCTTTCCTGAGGGACCTGGAGGGGTGGGGGGAGATGCACCATACCCTCTGCCCCTATGCTGCCACTTCTGCACCATGGCCACTCTCCTCGGGCGCTCCTTGGCCTCACTGTGACCTTTCTGCCAGAGCTCCCAGCCAGGCCTACTCTGCTGAGGTGGCCCTTCCTACTAAGGCCCTTCGGCCCTTTCTGCCCTCCTTCCTACCCTACTTGCTGAGCCTAGCCGCCACAAAGACCAAAGAAGTGATGGCTTTTCTAGGTCCCCTGCTGCTCTGGGGGGAGGGGGTGGGAATGTCCCTAGCTCAGCCCTCTCCCTTCTCAGCAGCCCCAAGCTTTACACTGGATGCAGCAGTCACCCCAGCCACCAAACCTCTCCCTCCCTCCCTCTTCCCCTCCCCCTCCATGCTTCCTTGGCTTCAGCCCTCCAGCTGCAACCTCTGGGGAAAAGCAGCCTCTCTTCCTCTCCACACCCTCCACTCCAACCCTGTCTCTGCCAGGTGCCTCCTCTCAGTCAGGCTTCAGAGCAGCACTGGGGACAGGAGGGCCATGTTAAAAGCTTTTTCAGTTTTAAGATGGTGGGGCGGTGAGACTAGTGGTGGGGGGTTTGGCACCATCTCATTGCTTTAATCCCAGCGACACAGGTGGCAGCTTCTCCCCCTTCCTGCCCACTCCAGTCCCTCTTCCCACCCCTCTCTTCTTTTAGCTTGGTAATGAAGTATATTTATTGGTGAAGGAAACAACTGCTGCTGCTTCTCCTGCTGCTGGGACTTGCTCCCCTCTGTCTCTTCTCCATGACCTTTCTTTAACCAGGGACGGAGGAGCAGGAGTATTGGGGCTAGGCCCTGGGGCACAAGAACTGGCCAGGGCCCCTTTGCTTTCCTGTGTTCTAGGCACTCACCATTTCCTCCCTCCCTGCCTCCCACCCTCTGCCTGCCCATCCTGGGCCCTGAAGTGTGGAGAGACACATAAGCCTTACTGTCCTCTGGGGGCCCTGAGCCGAGCCTTTTTGTTGCTCCGCTCCCGGGAGAGTGAGGGTGACGCAATTGATTAAAATCATTTTGTTCTAGTTGTGGCTAGTGGCATTTGTGCAAATGGGTCTTGGGTCCCTCACCTTTAGCTCTGTGACCTTGAGTAACCACACCTCCACTAGGCAGAATGAGATACGCCTTGCAAGATCGCTGTGAGCAATGGCCACTCAGCCCAGAAGGGCTGAGCACAAAGTCCAGCTCTGGTGGCTGTGATTTGCCATAATCAGCTTTTTAATCCCTGGCTTTCTCTCCTATAAAAGAAGAAGCTAGTAGTTTTTCAGACTTTTTCAAAAGAACCCAAATGAGAAATATACCTTTCACACTGTGACCCAAGATACACATGCAAAAAGTTTTACACAGTAACACTTACCTTTGCTACATGCAGTATATTCCATGTTCCTTTCTATTTTATTAAGAGAAAAATACTGGTTATAACCCACTAAATTGATATGTCCTAGATTATCAGAGGATTCCAAATTTTCTCAGCTCACAGCACCTAGTAATTTTTTCATGGAGCCCCTAAGCCAAAAGAAATACCTAATAGTTCAAGTCACTTAGAAAGTACTTACGTCCTAACAAGTTAGTTGCCATTAAAAAAAGTTATGTAAACTGAGTGCTGGTGGCTCATGCCTGTAATCCTAGCTTCTCAGGAAGATCACGGTTCGAAGCCAGCCTTGAACAAATAGTTCACAAGACCCTATCTCAGAAATACCCAACACAAAAAAGGGCTGGCAGAGTGGCTCAAGTGGTAGAGCTCCTGCCTAGCAAGCATGAGTTCAAACCCCAGTGCCGCCAAAAAAAAAGATTAATGCAATGTAATAAACTGCAAACTACCTTGAACTATTAGTTTTTGCAGAAGCCAAGAGATGTTGAGTACCTCTCAAATTTAAAATATTGTACTTTGCCTCCTGGAACTTGCTACTCCACTCTTAAGTCCCTTAATGCAGTTTGGTATTTGTGGTTTAGTACTGTGGTAATATATTTTCATAGTTGAAACTTTATGATTCTTTTCTTTGTACCTCTGGAAAGGTATCTCTGAAAAGAATCTGGGCCAGCTGGCTATGCTTGCTTTAAGGTAGGTAGTGTTAGGAGGTAGGTACTGCAAGCTGGTATTCTTCTGTGTTCCAAAATTCAAGTCTATAGAAACTTCAAGAAAGATATTTCCAGACCACATAGGGAGGAACAGTATCTAAGGCCATGCCAGTAGTGCAATATCACATATTCCTCCCTGGACCCCGAGTAATTCAGTTTGGCTGGAGAGGCAAATCAAGGAAATCCTGTGCTTAGTAAGAGACTAGGCTTGATCCTATAGGCAAGGAGGCACCTTTAGAATTCTGGGTTTTGAACTCAGGGCCTCATCCTTGCTAGGCAGGTAATCTACTACTTGAGCCATGCCCCCAGCCCTTTTTGCTTTAGTTATTTTCTAAACAGGGTCTCACATTTTTGCCTGGCCATGCCAGGTAAGAGGATCAAGGGATTCTCTTATTTACACTTCCTGTGTAGCTGGGATGGAAAGCTCATACTGCCATGCCCACTTTATTAGTTGAGATGGGGTTTCACTTTTGCCCAATCTGGCCTCCAACCACAGTCCTTCTAATCCTTATTTATCAAGTAGCTGAGACTACAGGCATGAGCCAACACATAATAGCCTTTTTTTTTTTATAGCAGTTTTAGGCTTACAGAAAATTGAGCAGAAATTGAGCAGTGAACTTCATATACCCCTCTCTCCCTGACTCAGTTTTCCCTATTATTAACACCTTGCATTAATTAGTCTGCCTGTTAGTTTAAACATTGTGATGAAATACCTGAAAAAATAAACTTTAAAGACAGGGGACCCAGTCTACAGCCATACCACCCTGAATGGGCCCAATCTTGTCTGATCTCTGAAACTAAGCAGAGTAGGGCCTGGTGAGTACTTGAATGGGAGATACGTGAGCCAGGTACTGGTGACTCACACCTGTAATCCTAACAGGCAGTAAGAGTGCCTGCCTAGCAAGCGTGAGACCATGAGTTCAAACCTCAGTGCCACCAAAAAGAAAGAAGTAAATAAGTAAGAGTAGTATTGGCAAAAGAATAGACGAATGGAATGAATAGGAAACCCAGAAATAGATCCACACAAATATAGCCAACTGATATTTGACAAAAGAGCAGTCAATTCAGTGGGGAAAGAACAGTTGTCTTCAAATTATGCAAGAACAATTGGACATCCGTATGTAAAAAAAAAATGTAAAAATGTTTACCATGTCATTAGGGAGTAGCAAATGAAAACAGAAAACTGTACACACCTACTAGGTTGGCTAAAAAAATGTTTAATGATACTACCTGACAAGGATGTGGACGGCTGTTCATTGATTACTGGTAGAAATCAAAATTATACAGCCACGCCACTTTTTCTTTCTTTTTTTTTTGCAGTGCTGGGTTTGTACTCGAGACCTATTTGAGCCACTCCACAAGCCCTTTTTTTGTGATGGGTTTTTTTGAAATAGGGTCTCACAAACTATTTCCCTGAGCTGGCTTTGAATTGCAATCCTTCTGATCTCTAAAACCCATCATAAAAAAGGGCTGGTAGAATGGCTCAAGGTGTAGGCCCTGAGTTCAAGCCCCAGTACCACAGGAAAAAAAAAAAAGTATCACTGATACTTTCACTGACTATAGTTTTGACTTTTCCAGGAAGTCATGTAGTTGGAATCATGGAATATATTGCCTTTTCAAACATAACTTCTGTCACTGAGCAATATGCATTTAAGTTTACTGCATGAGGAAAGAGGGAAGGAGGGAGGGGGAGAGAGAGAGAAAGAGAGTTCTCACTATGTTGCCCAGGCTGATCTTGGACTCCTGAGCTCAAGCCATCCTTTGCCTTAGCTTCCCTAGTAGCTGGAACCACAGGTGCGTGTCACAGTGCCTGGCCAGGCCCTCCATTACCTTTTTTGGGGGGTTGGGAATTTTCGAAATAGGGTCTCACAAACTATTTGCCTGGGCTGACTTCAAACTGTGATCCTCCTGATCTCTAGCTAGGATTACAGGTGGCACCTGGCTGATACTCCATTTTTAAACCACTCTGAATGTGTGACTCATCCAAAGCTCTCACCAGCCCTGCTGATAGAGGTCCTGGGTTCAGATGAACCCACACAGTCAATGCATAGCAAAGCAGACATTACAAGTTGGGACTTCTGTGTTTGTGTGGGCAGGTGTGGCCCCAGAGGCCTGTTGCCAATCTCTATGCTTAGAAGCATGCCAACATGCAGTTGCAGAACTTGAGAGGCAATGAGAAGTTAGCTAGTTCTGTGGTTCCCAGCCCTAGCTGAACATCAAAGTCACCCAGAATTTAAAAAAAAAAAAAAAAATTCCATGCCCAGAGATTTGAAGTTTTTTGTTTGTTTTTGTTTTTAGTGATACTGGTGTTTGAACTCAGAGCCTTGCACCAGGTTCATTCTAATGTGAATTACACAAACATAGACAATGAGTTCCAAAGAGAATCAAGGAAAGGGGTGAATTGCCCCACCCAGGATGAGAATGAGAAGCAAGGCCAGGACTGAATCTCTTGCTCTCTAATTCCTAGTACAGGTTTTCAAGTCATTTTCTTAGCATGCCAAGGCCCTGAGTTTTAATCC